GAAGGATAGATTAAGCTATGAAACAATTTGCAAAAGGAAGTTATGAAATCTTTGTCACTGAAACTACACAGTTAAGAAATTAAGATTTATCCTGCCTTGAGGCAAAGTATTAAATTGACTGGTTGTCCTCAATGATAAAGTCTCAACAAACTCCTTTAGCTTAAAATACCACCATTTATTCCATACACCATCTTTTCTCTGTGTGGTTGCTGAGTTTTCCAAGAATCAGATGCTAAAAAGAGATTAGAAATAAAAGAATAATAGAAAATGCCTTGTAAAAGAGAAGGGTGAGGGAGCCAGATAGGTGGAGCGAATCTTCAGACCACAATACAGGTTTAATTCTCAGTAACGACGAGAGGAAAAGCAACTGTGTGGGAGCATTTGAGGTTAAGTTGGGCAAAGTCATGTCATAATCTTCAAGCCAGAGAGACTGTGGACATCAGAGGAGTCCCACTTTCCTGGAAATAGGTCAATATCTTGTCTGTGTTCACTCATTTTCAGGGAGCCAACCTCAGGCTGTACCATCTTAGCTCTATTGCTGCAATGGGTTTCAGAGGCAGCAGCTGAGGCCCTTGGCCAATTGTGGTCTCTGTCATTGGGATCTGTAGCACATTTCTTTAACTACCACCCTGAGACTCCTTGATCTTATTTTTTTTTCTTTCTTGTTTTCAATTATTTCTCTTTCTTGTTCTCAATTATAGCACTCTTCCTACTGTTATTTTTGATCCACCACTCACTCATTCTTCATGTTCAAATCAGTTATCACAACTTTCATGAAGATGACTCTGGACAATGCACTTTCTTTTTGAATTTTATAATTATTTGTATTTTCCTATGGTTAATTGTTGCCTTTTGTTATTTATTTGCTCAAAAAAAAAAAACGTTATGGAGAGAGTCATATACAAAAAAAAGAGAAAGAAAGAAAGATACAATGACAGTCTAATGGGAGAGACAACACTTTCAAATCCAATAATTACCAATGATTAAAATATAGCATAGAAGAGTTAGAAGCAAGAGCAAAGGGATTTGAAGAAACAGAAGAAGAAGAGTGACCTTTTAGGGGAGATGGAGGATGTTATGCAAGAGTTGGCACTGAGGTTTGTTTTGAAGGATGACTAGTTAGGTTAGGGGTTGATGATTGAGTGGACAACATGTTCAGCTGCATAGTGGTATGAAAGAGAACAGAACAGGTGTATAGTACAAAGAGGCCCACATGCCATAGGGCATTCATGGGATTATTGTGGAGAGTAAGTCTGCAAAACTGGCCTAAGGTCTCATTATTTGGAGCTTCTGATCTTGATCCATAGTTCAGACTTTTTCCTACAGGGTTTGATTTAATTTAGAACATCTTCAAGTCCTTTGGGCCTTGCCAAATCACAATAGTATGGATGTATATAATTCTTTTATGCAACATAAAAGGGGTGATTTTACCAAATAAAATTATTTCTATATATCTAAGAATGTTGTGTATACTTAAAAACTACTAATTAATAAATAAAAATGAAAAAAATTTACACTTTGATAGATTAAAAAAATTATAGGGCACAAGGCCCAGATATAATGGGAAGATTTAGCAGACTTTTATTTTAGGTACCAGATTTGTTGCAAGTAACAATTTCCTGTTTTGCATATATTTACTTTCTGTACTTTGGTGGTTTTAAAGACTTCACTAAAAAAAAACTCAAGTTGTTCTCCACATACTTAAAATATCAAAAAGCAAGATTTTATGGTGAGCATGCTTTGCAATGTTAGGGAAAGGAGTTACAGAATTTCATCAGAATGTAACTTATCTTCATAAGTCCTAAAGTCAACATATTTTTCCACTTTATAAGAACTGTACATATTTCTAAGGTTGTATATTTTAATTTTATTCACTTATTTAATTTTTGAGGTTCTAGAAATTGATCCCAGAACCTTGTACATGCTAAGCATATATGTACTGTACAACTTATAAACACCCCTCACCCTTTAACATTTTTACTTTAAAGAAAACAAAATGAAATGGAGAATATTGTATCATTCTTCACTAAATAGTGTGTGTAGAAATTACATTTCAAGCCAAAGTTGCTTCAGGTAGGAAAGCAATTAAATTGACTGTTTGTGACAAGAACAGAAAAATCTATAGTTCCATATCCTGAAAACTCAGGTTATTTTACATGTGTCTAAATATATTTTTACATAGGCACATGCTCACAAGATAACTCCACTGTGTAAAGTAGTCCTTGTGTATGGTTTCTTAATATTTTAATAAATATTTGCTTGCTACTTATCATTTTACACATTTTGTAGTACATGCCAAGAGTCAAGATATAGAAGGTGTCAATATTTTTAAGTTCAATTTTAGGATGAATAACTTAAAAGTGAGGAAAATTAAATCACAAGGTTAGTGCTATAGAAATTATATGGCTTCTCAATAAATATAACAATTCTGTCATTTGCAGTATAGATTCTTGTCTACTGTTGCGGACTTTGTCTGATTTTACTGGCTCAGGAAGCATGGTTTTTCTCTAAGGAAGAAAAAAGTGAAGGAGACAAGAAACCTATGCATAGGTTATTCTTCAGTCTGACCTCTTTTGTATTTCCTTGGGATTAGATGCAGATCATACATTGAAAAGCTGTTTCATTAATTTTAATTGATATAAAATAATTTTACATTTTGATGGAGTAGTGTAATATTTCAATACATATATGCAATGTGATCACATCAAGGCAATTGCATATCCATCACTTCATATATTTATCATTTCTTTGAGTTGGGAACATCAAAATTTTTATTAGTTATTTGGAAATATAAAATTAATGGTGTCTACCATAATTATCATATTGTTCTCCTAAGAGTCTTACAAGTATTCCTCTTATCCAACTGTGCCCTCTTCCATGCTAGCCATCCTCCAATCATGCTCCCTTTCCCACAACTCTACCCAGCTACTGCTAATCACTATAATACTCTCTACTCCTAGCAGATCAATTTTTTAGCTTTCACTTATGAGAACGTTGGTTATACAATTTTGGCTGAAATACCTTAGGAATGATGTTAAGTGCTTGTATTCAGTGGTACATGTTGTTGTTGAATTTCATTACATTTTAACTATTGCCATTTGGTTACAGGCTTTTTCACTATAAAATTACTGTTTTCCCCCTTTTCAATGGAAAGCGTTGATGGGATGATAATATGAGATTGCATAAATGTCTTGTTATTCCTCAAAAGATTTATAATATATTGATGAGTCTGGTTGAATTGAGTTGTTATTATGATGGCTGCTGTCTTAGTCTGTTGTGGCCTTCTATAAGGAATACCACAGATTAAGTAATTTTTGATGAACTGAAATTTATTCGGCTCACAGTTTTGTATACTGACAAGTCCAAGATCTAGGGACCACATCTGATGGCCTTTTTGCCTTATGGAGATGGCAGAAGACATCACATGGATGAGAAAGAAGGGGTAAAACTCATCCATTATATGGAATGCACTGCCCTCATAATGGCCTTCACAAGGTCAGAGTCCTCATTAGCTAATCTCTTCTTGAAGATCCCACCTCTCAACACTGTTCTACTGGGTATTAAGTTTCTAACACATGATCTTAAGTATACGTTCAAACCTTAGAATTTGCTAAGGGTCGGTTTATAATTCTCTCATTTTTTTCTTTATTAGCCTGTTCATTTATTGGTTTTCTGCTAGGCATAAGAATGTTCTCACTTGTTAATTTGCTTATTTCTCTATGTGCCCATAGATGCTTTATTTAGTAAATTATAAACCTTTAATTTTATTAATGTTGTTATTCATTTTGATCCTCATCCTGTCCCAGATTTACACAGTGGGGATACTTTTAGGTTGATTCCTTTCTTATTTTGTTATATCATACCTTGATACTTTCTCACTTTTTGCCAAAAGATATCTAAAACTCATTTATTTTTCCCTGCCCCAGCTGGAATCAACTACTTTTCTAAGAATTGCTGATTGTAATTAGTTGAGAATGGTATTTGGAATTGGGGAGTACATGTACTTGTTGCTAGCAGGATGATTTTGCTGCCAGATCCTACCAGCAGAGAGATCTGGGTAAAGTGTATATGTGTTCACACATTCATATATATAAATATGTGCATATCTGTATCCACGTGTATGTCTAGATACCTCTACATATTTAGCCTGTGATTTCACATGATACTTCCAATTCTAATTCCTCACTGTTCATCTGCCCTTTTCTATTTTCATATTTGTAACTTCCTTTTCCAACAGTAAGAAACATGGCACCTATTATTCACAGTACAGTATAGTACATATTTGCTTAATCCTAGAATGTAGCTTTAGAAAGCAATGTCAGGATTGTTAACCCATGAGGGTGGACAGGGCGGGGGGATTTAAGCCTTTGCAGTAGAATTTTTTAGCATCCCTTTTGTTTAGTGTGCCTGATCCTGTGTTCAAAAGCCACTTGGCTAGCTCTTCCTTCATTTCCACTCCCTCTTGCTCCAATGTGGTTGTGTTGCTCACTTGAAATATGTCTTAGTTCATTTGTTTCAGTTTGTAAATTTGTTTTCACCTAGACAGAATTGAACAATATGGGTATTGGTGTTTTCTGTTCTGTATTTGACATAGG